ATCGTCGACTCCCAGGAATATATAGGAAAACATGGGAAGTGGTGTGGAAGACAAAAAAGCAGAAAATATGGGAAAATATAGGGAATCCCTTTATTTGTGTGTGTAACTATTTATTTGTGTGTCCCAGGGCCCCTTCACTGTCCCCAGGGCCACTTCTGTATCCCGAGCCGTCTCTTCACGGCCCGGGGGTCCGGCGAGGGCCTGCCGAGGCCGAGAGCTCAACAAAAAGAAGCCGTCGTGTTTTTTTACCCGAACGCAAGCATGCCTCGCAGATCACGGCCCGAGCCCCAGACCAGGAGCCCCTCGGAGGAGGGAGGAGGGAGGAGGGAGGATTCTAGCGATGGATTCTAAAAGTGCGCCACAGTAGGCGCGAGGGACACCCGTGCCACCCCTGGTGAGAGCCGAAGCCAACACCAGGCACAGCAGGGGCCCTCTTTTTACCAGGCAGAAGACCCCCAAACAGCACCCCGAAGGCCAACACGGGCCCGCACGGCCCCAGGACCACGGGACAGCAAGCTGTTTAGGGAACGCACTCCAGGCAGCACTCAGCTGTAGGCCACCTTCCCGCTGCCAAGCCTAACACCTCAGTTGCTCGGGCCGCGGATCATCTCCTTCTTCCTCCCCTACTTCTTCTTCCCCTTCACGGGCTCCTTCTGCGCGGGCCCCTGGGGCACGGGCTCCGGCTTCGCGGGCCCCCGGGTCTTCTTCTCGGTGCCGCCGTCGCCGCTCCTCCTAAGCACCTTCATGGAGTTCTGCAGCTCGACCTCAATCGCGCTGCCCTTCTCCTGCAACTTCTTCACCTTGTCGCTGGCGACGTCCAGCCGCCAACTGCTGAAGCAGCTGTGCATCATCATACGGCCCAGGCTCTTCATGAACTCGCAGCCGATGATGTCCAGCTCCTGCTCCAGCCTCACGCGGTCAACGGCCTCATCTAGCTCGTCGTCGACCCTGTCCCACTTCTCCTCCAGGTCCTGCATCTTCACGGGGTCAACGGCCTCCTCTAGCTCGTCGTCGACCCTGGCGTCCGAGCTCTTCTCGAATTCCTCCTCGGTGCCCTCCGCCTTCATGAACTCGCAGTCCTTGGCCTCGTCCCACGTGCCCACCAGGTCCACGTAGGTCTGCACGCACTTCGGCGCCTCGGCGATGCTAGCCTCGGTCTCCTTCTTCGCGTCGTCGTGCTTCTCATCCCCGTCGTGCTCCACGTACGCCCCGCGGTCCACGGCCCTGATGCACTCCACACCCGTCTCTGGGTACAGCTTCAGCACCTTCACCGTCAGCGCTTGGGCAACCTCCTCGTCGCCGAGGTCGGCCCAATTCTCCTTGCTGACGGGCTCGAGCCACGGGAACGGGGGGACGCTGGCCAGGGCGATCTCCTGCTCCATATCCTCGCCGTAGCCCAGGCTCTGCTTCGGCTCCTGCACGCCGTACTTCTCCATGGCTGCCTCGCGCTTGGCGATCGCTGCCACCTGGAACTTCTCCCCGTGCTGCGCCTCGAACCCGGCCATCTCCCGCACCTCGATCGTCTCGATCTGCTCTACCTCGGTCGGCTCGACCTGCTCCATGAACCCCACGCACTTGGCGAACGCACTCAACGTCGCGAACTCCGCGACCATATCCGCCTCCAACTCGGCCTTCACGTCGAGCTGGCCCTGCTCGGCCTGCGGGTGCGCCCGCACTCCTCTCTTGCCCACGGCGCCGACGAGGGGCTGCGGCTGCGCCTCCACGCCAGGGGCCCTCGTCCACGCGCTCGGGGCACGTGCGCGGCGCCTCACCATTGTTTTGCTACCCGGTCTTGCGCGGCCCGCCGCGTCCTCAAGCCGCAGGCCCAGCCCCAGCCAGGCACATTAAGCGCCGGGACCCGCGCCCAGGGGCACAACCTGGCAAAGGAGCCAGATCCCTTGGGCCCAGGTGGCTTGAGGAGGGAGGAGGGAGGAGGGAGGAGGGAGGAGGGAGGAGGGAGGAGGGAGGAGGGAGGAGGGAGGAGGGAGGAGGGAGGAGGGAGGAGGGAGGGAGGAGGGAGGAGGAGGAGGAGGAGGAGGAGGAGGAGGAGGAGGAGCAGGAGCAGGAGCAGGAGCAGGAGCAGGAGCGAGATCGATCCGTGATGGTCTTTTAGCCCGAAGCCAGGCGGAACCCGCGTTGTGAAAAAGCTGCAGCGCCTCGATTGCAGAGTCTGGCAGGTCCCCGATCGCACGGGGCGGTGTTACCGCCATCAGGGCGCGAAGTTCTTTTGCGGTTCACAAGTCGCCACTCCTCATCCTCGTCCTCCTCGTCCTCCCCGTCTCAGCGTCTCCCATGGGTGGGCGGTGCGAGAGCGCGAAGAGATTCGCGCTTCGCGCGGCGCCGAGCGGCTGCCCTTTGTCACCTCAGGATGGAACTCCTGGGAGGATGCATTCGGCATCGCCGCTGGTAGATCCGCGGTCGGAAGCAAGCCGAACCTGGCCTAGTCCCGCTTAATCCCGCTTTCCCGCTTGATCCCATCTCTGGCTTCATCCTATGCCGAAGCCGGCCAAACCTGGTTTCATGGCCCCTTAATCGGGCTTGTCGTTTTGAATCGTTTTTGCGCAGATTCGGCCACGCGCAGGGGGGTAGGGGGACGGGGGAAGGCTTTATAGAATCACCCCTGCTTCTCAGAAGGCGCGGGCCTTGTCGGTAGATGTAAGGCCCGCGCCTTCGAAGAAGCAGCCTCCTTCTAAGAAGCCTTTTCCCCCTACCCCCCCGTGCGCGCTGCCAACAGACATCCCAGGAGCTGCTTGCTGAAACGGGCCGTGCCAGGCAGGCGCTGACCGGCGCTGCAGAGGCATCGGATATTTTCCTTGCGCGAGACGAGGAGGAGGAGGAGGAGGACGAGGAGGAGGAGGAGGAGATGGATGATGATGATGATGATGATGATGATGATGATGATGATGATGATGATGATGATGATGATGATGATGATGATGATGATGATGATGATGATGATGATGCTGATGCTGATGCTGATGCTGATGCTGATGCTGATGCTGATGCTGATGCTGATGCTGATGATGCTGCTGATGCTGATGCTGCTGATGCTGATGCTGATGCTGATGCTGATGCTGATGCTGATGATGATGATGATGATGATGATGATGATGATGATGAGGAGGAGGAGGAGGTGGAGGAGGAGGAGGAGGAGCAGGAGGAGGGCAGGTGGAGACCACGGTGGCTGCGGGTGGCGAAACCTATCCGTGTCCACGCCCTCGCGCTCTTTGGATGCCAGGGCGCGATCCCGCGGGAATCCGTGGTCGCACGGCTGCGTACCGCGCGGGACAGCCGCGAGAGCACGCCACGTGTCCGCGGGTCCGCGGCCCAGGGGCCTGGCCCGCGAGGCCGCGGCCACGGACATGTTCTTCGACCGCGAGGCATTTGGCCTGCGGGGTGCCGCCCTTGCCGCCACGGCTGGGCGTAGGCAGGAATGGCGCCTTGTCGGCCAAAGAGGTGTGTCACCGAAGACGCGTGCGACCGAAAGTGTGCCCGAAGTTGTGACCGAGAACGTAGAGTGACCGAAATTGCGACCGAGACTGAACATCGTAGTTGTTTCAAACCGTCTATTTCGGTCACATTCAGGCGCGGTCAGATAATTTCGGGCGCCGGCTTCGGTCACACTCGGCTAGATTTTCGGGCACAGTTTCGGTCACTACACCCTCCTGATAGAGACGAGGCCACGGGAGAGTTGCTTCCTAAGTGGCCGCCCGCCGTGTTCCAGGCTGCACAGATGGGGCTGAATCAGGGTAGGGTAGGCTTGTGTCGTTTCGTCTTCGCGACGATGACACTAGAGCGTTCCAGGCGGAACGCCACCAGCGCCTATTCGTGGAACGCTGAAGTCTGTGCGCTTTCTGATGGCCGCGATCGTTCATGGGGAAACCAAAGGGTACCGATTCCGCTGCTACCCGGACCTCTCCCATGGTGCCTCCTGACGAGAATTTGAGGCGAATCCAGCGGTGGCGACGAGGGCCTCCATGGAGGCCCCAACGAGGGGAAACCGAGGCAGGGGCAGCGGTATACTGGTACCTTTTCCTCCTCCGAGTCACGTGCTGCGGCCTTCCGGGTGGTGCCCCAAGCGTCGCCGCACGGAGCGCAGCGCTGGCACGGTGGCGGAGCCTGCCGCGGGCAGCTGCTCGGTGTGACGGCGGGCACTGCGGCACTGCGGCTTCGGCGCCGGCGGCGATCGGCGGGGCTGCTTCCTTGGGCCATCTTGGGCGCGCTGACCGATCGCGGTCCGCCCCGAAAAGTCCCAGGCCCGAAGGGAAGAGGGTGCTCGGACAAGGAGGGACCTCGTTAGACCACCTCGGCCCACAAGGGCTGGTGGGACTGCTCGGAGGGCCGCGCCGCCCGCCGCCAGGCCCACCGCCCGCCGCCAGCTGCGCGGTGCTTCCTAAGTTGCCGCCCGCCGCCAGCTGCGCGGTGCTTCCTAAGTTGCCGCCTTCATTGTTTTGGACCTTCCGCCCTAACCTTCCGTCCCTTTTGCGATATGATCGACGTGGGCTTCTCTGAACTACCTAGGACCTGGGGAGGCTTCAATGAGCTCCGATGAAAGCTTCTTCCGCACCCTCCGCGGAGGTCGGGAGGGCGGAGGTTGAGGGAAGGTTGCCTCCTCAGAGCCCAGGGTCGCTGTTCACCCGGTCTCGGGCTCCAGCCTGAGCCTCCTCGGGCTCCTGGTCCTCAGAGTCCCTGGCCCAGACATGTGACGTCCTGATTTTTTCAGAACGGCGTCCCCGGAAGTCCAGTCGTTTCCTGACGGTCCTGGGGCCCAGCGAGGGCCCTCGGGGGCCGAAAATACGGAAAACCTTGCCGTCCCGATTTTGTAACGACGCGAGCACGTCTCGGGGTCTTCCTCGTGGAGCGCTCCGCGCGGTGCTTCCTCGGTTGCCGCCCGCCGCCAGGCCCGCGCGGGCGCCGCCGCCGCCCGGCGGGCCGGCGGCGCGCGCCGGCGCCGGCCCCGCCGCCGCGGCGGCGCTCTGCGGCGGCGCGGCGGCGGGCGCCGCCCCGCGGCGGGGCGCCGCGCGGCGGGGCCAGCGCGCGGCTGCGCGGCGCGCGTCGGCGGAGGTCGTGCCGGGGAGCGCGGGGGGTCCATCACCTGGGAGCCTCGAGGCGGGGGTGGATGCAGACGGGGGTCAGCCAGAGCGCCAGACCTTGCAGGATCCTGCAGGGCCAGGGTCGCATTGACCCGGGTTTGGGTGCAGAATCTTGCAGGATCCTGCAGGATCCTTCGCACTGACCCAGGTTTTGGGGAGCAGGATCTTGCAGGATCTTGCAGGATTCTGCAAGGCCTGACTGACCCGGGTCTGGATTCATCCGGGTCAGAAGATCCCCGAGTCACCAGGGACTCGTTCGGTGGCAAGTAATGGGAGCCTGGTATTCACCGAGCGCGTTCCGCTACTTGCAAAGTGCCTATTCGCAAACGTCAGGGAAAATACATGTCTCTTTATGGTGTAATAGATCGTAAATCCCTCGCGGCGGATCCAGGCCATTTGCGAGTAGTTATTTTGCCAGTAGCGGAACGCGCTCGTCTAGGTATACCCTCGTAGTTGCGTCGATTAGCGTCGATTAGCGTAGATATCGCGTCCGGAGTCGAGGAGACAGCGCCGATTTAGCGTCGGGGAGCGTCGATTCCAGTCGATTTAGCGTCGATGGGCGTCGATTTAGCGTCGATTAGCGTCGATTCGCAAGAGCCGACAAGATGGTATGGGAGGCTCCCACGAGTTGCCACCGAAGGCTCCTAGATGGGGTCGGAGGAGATGGTGTCGGAGGATTTCGCCGAATCGCCGATGCATCAGCGATACATCAGTGATGCGGCTCGATGTGGGGTCCAATTTTCTCCACGCCGACGTCGCCGATGCATCGCTGGCGTCGCCAGTGCATCGCCGATGCATCGGCGACATATCGCCGATGTATCGGCGATGCGGCGAAATCCTCCGACCCCATCAGCTCGGACCCCATTTAGGAGGCCCCTATCATTACCAGAGACTCAGGTGAGGAAGAGGTACGGTTACCCCTCGGCGCCACCGCTGGATTCGCGGTCCAGGGAGCAATGGGCAGTATCGTTTTGTATCGTTTTGTTGGGTTCCCCAGAGAAAAAGAACGACCGCCACCAGCTAGGGATGCTAGTTCTGTTGAGTTCTGGTGGTGGTGGCTCTTTGTTCGGGCGAAGAGAAATATGCACATGCACCGATCCTGACAACGTCCATCCTTGACCCAGGATCGGTGCATATGCCTTCCTGGCCAAGGTAGGAGGGCATATGCACCGATCCTGGGCTCAGGATGGGTCTGGCCAGAATCGGTGTATGTGCATAGTTCTTTTTCCTCTATGTGTGCTTTCATTTATTCAGGGAAGAACGACCCAGGCATGCGATGCCCTGCTTTTTCCAGTGCGGCCTCCCCAGCGGTCCCGACCCTTCTCCGGGACCCGTTTTTCATCCCGAGCCGTGGTTTGACGGTCCTGGGGCCCGGCAAGGGCACGCAGGGGCCGACTTGGGCGTTGCGTAATGGGGGGGTCATAAATGGGGGGTTGGTGAGGGTGGTCCGAAAAGGTACCCAAACGGTGCCCCCTGGGGGTCCAGAGGGGCCCGAAAGGGGCACGAAAGGGGACCGTTTCTGACCCCCCCATTGATGACCCCCCCATCAAGCCACGCCCAACCGACACATCCGCAACGTTTCTCCCCCCGGGACCGTCAGACATCGACTTGGTGGCCGATTCCGATGTGACTCGGCGGCCGAGGATCGGGGCCAACGAACACTGGGGGGTTCTTGCAGGCAGCTGCCGCTTGCAGTCGGTTCCGGCTCCTCCGCTGGGCACGTCTTTGGATGCCTCAATCTGGTGCGAGCGAAACGGGTGCGGACAAAAGCACGGTGACGAAGCTTGTTGTCAAATAATTTCCAGATGTCTAAAACATGTGTTAAACATGTGTTAAACATGTAAAAACATGTTTAAACAGGTTTAGAACACTTTTCCGACATTTTAAACACAGTTTAAATTCAAGTATCGGACTGTTAGGGTGTCCACGGTCGTGGCATCCACAAACGAAGACTGGTGGAAGTCCCGGCCTGTTTCGAACGGGACTCGCTGTCGGTGCCGTTCCGCGGGAGCTGTCTGCACGAGACGCCGGGCCGCCTGCCCAGCACCGGCCGCCGCCAGCACTTGTCGTTGGGCCTCTTGGCCAGCTTTCCCGTACAGTGGGGGTCCATGCCAAGAAACATCTTGCATGCCTCCAGGGCGAGGGCTTCCTGGGGGTGCTGCAGGTTGCTGTCGATCCGTGCGGCGGCCGACTGCACCCACAGGGGCCTCTGAGCAGCGTCATGGGGGCGGATGGCACCTTTTAAGGGCTCCGTCTGGCAGCTGGCTGTGCCTGCGCAGGCAGCTCTCGGCCTGTCCGGGGGTTGCCGCTGCAGGTGCGGTCGCCGCCCGCTCCTTCTCTAAGGAGCGCCCGCAGAGTGTGCCCTGGGTCTCTCGGGTTTGCGTGACGTTCCCACGCCAAGAAACCGATGGACGTCCTGGGGTCTCAGGGTTAGGCTTCTGGTGGAAGGTTTCTTGTGGACTGGCCTCCACTGTATGCATGTCCGCGCGGATTCTGTGGGGTCGGCGCTGGGGCCCTCCCTGGCGGCGCCTCTGGCGCCGCCCCGGGCGCGCTCCGCGCGCCTGCGAGGGGGACCCAGCGCGGATCCAAGAAGCCTGCACAGACCTCCGAGAAACATGCTAGTGCCTTTGTTTTCTCGGATGCAGCTCCTGGGAGGTCAAATTCTGACTTCGGCCTGGTCCGAAATCCGGCTGAATCTGGCTTATTCCCCGCGCAGTCCCGCTTCACCCGGCTTAGTCCCGCTTAGTCCGCGGCTGAATCCAGCGTAGTAGCCCCCCAATGGGGCTTAAATTTTCTTCACCATTCCGACGAAGACCTCCCAGTAGTTGTCTCCTACAGCCAAGACGCTGAAGTAAGGAACATTGATTCTACAGGCTTACGCCACATCCGCCGACCCCTTGAACCACCCCGTGGTCCGCAGCCGACAAATTGGACGGCGCTATCATCACGGGGAGCGCGTGGAGACACGAATGGTCGCGTGATGGACGTCGAATAGGGGCTTGGAAGGTCTTGGGCGGATCTCGGGTCGGGAGGAGGAAAGGGAGGAGGAGGAGGAGGAAGTGGTGGAGGAGGAGGTGGGTTGTCTTCGGGTTCTCTTGGAGGCCTCTCGGGCCGTCTTGGGGCGGTCTTGGGGGCCTCTTGGGGCGTCTTGGTTCCATCGTCGGCTACTTGAGCCCCGGCTTCCCCGTTTCGCGCCACCGCCCCATCCCTGACCTCCTATCTCTCGATTCTTTTCGAGACGCGGTCCCCAGAAACCCCGACGACTTCCCGAGGACCGGCTTTTCGTCTCGGGTCGTTTTCTGACGGTCCCGGGGCCCTACGACGGCCCCCGCCTGCCGAAAGTCGCCAAAAGCCTCTCGTCACGATTTTTTCGAGACGTCGGAGATCTGGGCCCTTCGCGCCACCGCCCCACCTCGTCGCTCGTGCGCTTCCGCCTCTGGTCCGAGCCCGAGCACCAGCGAGACCGCGCGCGCGGCCGCGCAACGGCGGAGCGCGTGCCGGGCGACCGCGGCCCGGGCCGGCGGCGCAGCAGAGCCCGTGGAGGAGTCGCCGACGTATCAGCGCAGCGGCGCGTGCAAGAGAAGGCTACCAAAGTCGGCGTTCCCCGACCCGCACAATGTCCCGCGAGACGCCAAAAAAGGCACCCTGAAATGCAAGACGTGCAAATGATGTCGACTCGGGCGCGCGTACTGGTGAGAACAAGGAGGACGGGGACAGGAGAATGGGGGATGAGGCGGAGGATAGGGGGGCGGGGGGGGGGAGGGGGGGGGGCGAATCATCAAGGATGACGAGGTGAAGCGGACCAGGAACAAGAGGAGGGGGACGAGGAGGAGGGGGGCGAGAAGAGGGTGGAGGAGGACGAGGAGGGGGGGACATTGAGATGAGGCTCGCTATGTGTACAGCGATTTCGCGGCACGCCTTTCGGGGACCTCTGGAAAACAGTTTTGAGGCCGCCGGGGGGCCGAGGTGGACAAGGGCGGTGAGGAGGAAAAGGAGGGGGACACGGAGGAAATGAAGGATGGGGGGAAAAGAATCGACGAGGATGAGGATGAGGCGAGGGAGGAAGAGGACAAATGAGCGAGGAGGAGAGGGAGGGGGAAGAGGAGGTGGACACCCTGAAGTGCGGCTTGTGCGGTGATCGCTTGTGAAGTGCGGCTTGGAGGCAGTTTCAAAGCCTTTTGGGGGCAGTTTTGCGGCCGTTTGGGGGCCTCTTGGGGCCTCTTGGGGCCTCTTGGTAGCGTCTTGGGGGCTTCTTGGGGCCTCTTGGGGCCTTCTGGGGCCGTCTTGGGGCGGAAGGCTCGGATTGTCGGTTCAATCTCCCCCTCTTGGGCCCCTCTTGGAGCTGTCTTGGGGACCTCTTGGGCCGTCTGTGGGGCCTCTTGGGCTGTCTTGGCGCCCCCTTGGGCCGACTTGGGCGCCTCGTGGGGGTCTCTTGGGCCGTCTTGGGGCGGTCTTGGGGTGCTCGTGGACCGTCTTCAACGCCGCGAGGGCGGACAAGTCGCATATGATCCAAATGTTCGTTTTCCCATTGGAATTTGACGATTTTCGGTTCTTCGGCCCTTCTGAGGACTGCTCCTGGAGGCCTCTTGGGCCGTTTTGGAGGCCTCTTGGCCTGTCTTGGGGCCATCTTGGGCGTCTTGGAGCGCTCGTTTGGCGTCTCGGGGCCCTCGTGGGCACTCTCGGAGGGCTCTTGGGGCCTTCTTGATTCGTCTTGAGCCCATATTGGGTCCAAAACAGCCCCGTGAATCGCTCGTCCCGGGCCTGGGGGGGGGGGTCGAATCTCCGGTTTGGGGTCCCGGGGGGGGGGTGGGGGGGGAAACTCTCTCACACGCCTAGAGACCCACAAGGGGTCGGCGGATTCGGAAGGGCTCGATGTTCCTTACGTCCTTCCGTGGTTGTTCCTCTAGCCCTTCTCGTGCACCCAGGCTTTTTTGAAGCCGCAGAGGAGGGGCTTCGTTCCTAATTTCAGCAGCTCGACTGTAATTTTGTTCCTCTGAAATGC